CCCTGTGAACTCCTTCACATCATGTTTTTTGCATAGCTACAGGAGAAGGACCTTTAACCAGCAGTTAAATCGTATATGTTATTCAGTGCTTAAGGCAATGAAATGGGAGAAATTGTAGGATTTTAAAATGTGATAATAATAATAGTGAAACAAATACATGTGAAACAAAATGTCCTGTACACATTCCTGTATTTGTGTAAATCAGCAGTTTTCTTGTTAGAAGGTGAATTTATCATGTGTCAGTTGACAGCTTATTTGTGTATATTGCCTGTAAGCTTTGTAAACTTCTCTTTCTGGTTATTTTTTAGTAATATCTGAAGAGTCACACTAAGATTTCAAATAGGTAGCTATATCAAAGCATGGAAGCAACTCAGAATCAAACCTCCACCAAAGGCATGACGTGTCTTAGAAATTTAACCCAGAAAACCACAAGCCATACTACTTAAAGCTATCTTAGAAGATACAGCAGGCCTGTGTGAAGTTTCCTTTGCTCACTAGTTGAAAAGGTGAAAATGAAAACAAGCCCTTGTGCTTCAAAAGCACAAGGTGGTACTTTCTCGTGGTACTTGAGGCATGATGGTTTGGAAGAATAGACTGCTTGCTGGATAGGGTGAAGTTGGCTTGACTGCCAGGCTTTAAGACTTGGTGCCTAGACAGTGAGAGGAGGTGGCAAAGATGGCCTTGTTTATGGGCAGAAGGAAGGGCCATAAGGGGCAGTCTGACAGCAGATTTAAAAACAGCTACAAGCATGACCTGGTGGCCAAAGCAACCCTGTCCTCTAAAAAATAAAATAAAATAAAAATAGTAAAAAGAACTGATCAGGATTTCAGCTAGAAAGGTTCAGATTCAGATGAGGAAAAACATCTTATATTGGAATTTAATATGTCACTGGAGCAAGTTATCCAAAGACACTATGGAGAATATATCTGTGCAAGTCTGAGAGTTGACAAGAAAATGCCAGCCATCAAATGTGTGACATGCTGTGGTGTGAGCAGGAATTATGACCCGACCAAGAGCTTGGACTGCAGGTCCCACAGAGCAGCATTTGTACGATTTTGAATGTTTTCCCACTGTACATGTGAACAATATCAAGCTGAGCTGTTTGCCTGCTGTTTTCTGCTAGTAACAGGCCATTTTCCAGTTTTTCCTTTGTGCCTGGAAAAAGAGTTAAATTTTGCTGCTACATTCAGATAATAGCTATGAAGTGCCTGGAGGCAAGTGAACCAGAGACAGAGGATAGAAAGAGGTATTCTCATATTCCTTTAGTTATTACTTCTGAAAGTAGGCTTGCTGCTTTTCGAAAGTTTGGAAAAAATACCATATTATGTTACATTTCAAAGGGCTTCTTCTACAAAGCTTGTTTCTGTACATAGTGCGGAGAGTTGTAGAAATTGCATGGGATTGTTGCAGGAAATCCTTTCAAATAATGATAATATTTGAAAAGAATGCATCCCTTTGAAGTTCTACAGTAATGAACAAATAGCTATCTTTTGTTGGCGAGTTTTAAGGCAGAAGACTTGCACGTATTGCATTGCTGTATATCAGAAAGAGCTCTAATCTTAATCTGTAAATATTTAGAGTTGAATTTTCTGTATTTGAACTTGGCGTTGTTTTTTGAAGCGTTGATAGCCTTATATGGCTGTTACTCAAAGCCTAGAAGTTGTTTTTCGTAGCTAAGGACTCCAGAATGAAATAAACAAGATTATCTATGAGCAATCCGTGATTGGCAGGACTCTGATCTTGTCCTAATTACAGAAAAAAACTACTTTGAGAAATCAGTGAAGGCTTAACAAAAAGCATTTTAAAAACTGATATTACCGGTGCTGTACCTCCAACGAAAATCCACCCTCAGAGTGGCACCCAGGGGCCAAGGCTGTTTCTCCTCGATGCTCCATAACTGCATCTGATTTGTCTGAGTTTTACCCTTGACCCCTTCCAAAACATAGCGATTACAACCTACTAGGAAGAGGTATTTGCTATATTTAAGAAGTGTCAGCACTCATCTTTGTGAAATGTATTGTGCCCATGGGCGAAGAGGCCTACTTTGAAGTAGGCAGGAATGAGCTTGTCTCGTCGGTGGGTTTAATTTCAGTTTACAGTGGCATCTGCTGATCTCTTGGTGATACCGTGGTTTTTCATCTGTGTTACCGTTGCAGTGGAGGGGTTAGGCACCGCCGTGCATTCAGAATGTCTGGAATCTTGTAATTTTCAGGTGCGGGCTTTCTACATTGATATATAAATCTGGTGATAGCATCTTGCACCACATCAAAGACTACTGTGGCAACTCATTCTTCAGCTTCGGGCCCTGTGATGCTCATACAGTCCTTCCCTAAGAAGTGTAACCACGCCGTGTCCCTGGGTCAGCTTAGGGGTTTTCCCCATCTGCTGTGCCCCATTTCCAGGACCTTCTCCTGCAGGTGATCTCTGCTCACTTTTTGAAGCCCTGTCTCTCCCCCTTCCCTCGTGCGATAGTGCTGCACTAAGGCTAAGGTGGCACCTCGCCTCTTCTGGACTGATGCTTCTCAAGTTGATCTGTGCTGTCTGAAAAATCATGATCCATTTTTATCTTTTTTTTTGAGGGGGCTATGAGATGTTAATAGCAAAGCAAACAGGTCACAGCTGTAAGGACTGATAAATGTATAGCTTTTGATCTACACAGCTGACCACTGTAAATCTGGATGAACTTGTTACTCCTTTTTAAGCCTAACCCTGAAATAAAGCCAGAAATTGTGAAGTCATTCCAGAGGAGAACAGGAAACTGTAGTCTCAACTTAGTTACATTCAGGTGGCTGTGCTCCTCATACAAGCTACCCAAAAGAAATTCTCTGAATATGCACAAAATCAATAGGCGAAGGCTAGTTTTTTGCAGTGTGGTGGTACAATTAGTTTATGTAGAATGGATGACAAAGAATATTGCAGCTTATCTGAAAACAAATAACAAGCCTCATTCTCCAGTGACGACAGTTACTTTCCTTTGTGGCCATAGAAAATAATTCTTTTGCAGAAGAAATTCCACTGTGTGAGAGCAAATATTTGAAATGGAGCAAGTGATATGTGTGAGAATTTGATATGTTTTTGGAACAGTGCTGTGTAAAAGACATTTTTCCTTTCCAAACGGAGGAGCTGGAGATGCTGGGGATGCTGCAAGTCCCATTCATTAATTTACAGCATGCCTTTTTGTTCCTTTGCCTCTCTTTTCAAAGAGAGAATGCTTGTGTCTTAGCTAACAAAACAAACAAACAAACAAAAAAAAAAACAGGGAGGTGTCTAAATTAAGAATCTCTCTTGTGCGTCCTTTGTGCTTTTTTTCTTATTACTGCATGTTGTTCTCCTTGTGTGTCTGCAAGGCTGTCAGTCCTCTGTAACTGTGTGTGAATACTGGCAAAACCACACTCCTTCAGGTTTATGTAAGCATCAATTCATTTAAAGGAAAAAAATCCGTTTTCATACCACAAGTAGAAGGCATGGGTCCGTCAGAATAGAAGGCAAAAGTCTGTCAGACTTTAAATTACAGTTAAATATAGATTAATTCCTTTAAAATTGCAATGCTGTTTGTATAGGTTTCTTTTCTTGCAGTACATTCATTTAGCTGTCAGCCTTTACATGTTGCTGTAATGAGGTATGATTGCAGTGCATGTTTTCATGGTAGACTGAAGCACAGACTTTTTACATAGTTTCAAATGTATTTTCATCACCATGCTGTTTATATAACAAACAAAATGAAGTAACTAACTGACAAAACTAATTGCCAAAAAGAAAATAACATGAATTACTCCCCAGTACAAAACTATACATGTGTTTAGTTACTAAGGTTATTAATTAGGTAACTGAGGATTGCTATGGTTTACTGACTGCTATGTCAAACTTGACTATACACAGATTTTTAGAAAAGGTCAAAGACAGTAGAAGTCTTGTGCTGTAGCATAAAGATTTTTTTTCCTTTGATGTGCTCATGGAACTAAATTTTGTCATTTAGAGTTCTCATCATTTTGTGTCATGATGTTGAGAAGTATTCGGATTAGATCAGTGCCTCCTGTTTGCAGCTGAGTCTTCCATACAGACTGATTCCAGCTGCTGAATATGAATTCCTGGGAATGCTGGGCATTTGGCAGTGAGGTTGTTTGAGTTATTGTGAGGAGAGTTGTATCCCTGACAGTCACAGTGACCAATCACCAGAGGAGTCCCTTCCTTTTGGGAACTCCTCACAGTTGTGAATTCATCACCCAAAGAAACTGTTTCAGTGCTTCTGTGTGGTTTCGAGTCAAATGTAGTCAGCGTATTTCTTTTGAGTTCGTTTACTGCCACATAAAACATTTATTTTTAAGTGTATTTTGTAGTCTAACAAAGCTGAAGAATTTTAAGGGATGCCCTCTATCGGAAATTGTCAGTAAATGTCTAATTTCATATACTTGCTAACTACCAAATAGCACATCCTAGACATGCTCCTGCATCAGGCTATCGTTGCCCAGTACAGCCCTCGGCATGGATGCAGCCATCAAAATCCTGATTGTTGGACCCAGTAAATGTAAAAGTCTCCTCTAATGAGAGACAAATTTAAACCAGCCCTTCTGTGTGGTAGGCATGAAGTGTGAGCAGGCCTGTTCTTCCACCCTCAGCTGACTTCTCTGCACTCCCCAGTAGCAAAGAACTGGAGCCATCAGCAGCCTGCATGATTAAGTCCCTTTGGCTGCTGGAATGCTGTGAGGGCTCCAGTCTTGCATTTACATGTTGGAGTTGAAGGAACTATACAGTCACATTTCTCTTACCTCCACTTGAACTTGCGTTCTGTTTTCTGACCAACAGTTGGAGCTTGGGTTTGATTGATTTTTCATCAGCAAAGCAAACTTTATCTCTTAATCTGTTTTTACTAAATAGATTTTCCAGACAAAATGAAGAAAAAAGCCATCAGAAGAAAGGGACTTTTTCTATGCATGCTATGCTCTTTAGGAGAAGGGAAAGAAATACAGTACTGATGTGTCTGTTTTCTCTTTTTACTACAGGAGTGCAGGATCCTCAGCATGAGAAGATAATAACTGTCACTTCTAATGGAAGTATTCACAGCCCCAAGTTTCCACACACATACCCGCGCAATACTGTACTAGTGTGGAGATTAGTAGCAGTAGATGAAAATGTATGGATACAGCTTACTTTTGATGAAAGATTTGGGCTTGAGGACCCAGAAGATGACATTTGCAAGTAAGTGACTTTTGCTTTAACTTACAAAATATCTTAAAGAAGACGTGGGGGATGGAACAAGAGTATTCCTCAGGTTTTGGAAAAGTATTACACCTGCACGTCAATTTATCTGTGAAAATGCAACTCTGATGTATTAGCTACTGATTTTCTTCTGCAGTGCTAGGAAAGCATTTCATGCTTGAAATATCATTTGAATGTCATATCCTGCTTTGATGTGTTCCTGGGGAGGTATTTCACAGCAGTTTTTCCTTTCCAAGTAGGTTTTTTTTTGCTTTATTTCCCCCCCCCTATTTTAGATTTTGGTTTTTTTTTACTGCTCTGTATGTCTCAGTTTTTCTAATTGATTAGTCTTCATTTGTTTGTATATCTCATATCAGTTTTTTGTTGGTTTTTTTTTCAATTTTGGATTTCTTAGGGGTTACTTTTGAGCTTATTCTTATTTTGGAAGTTGTGGTTCATAACGGATGGACAGATACCTTCATAATTCTGAAGAGAGTGATTGTCAAGGCTATGTAAATATATCAAAATACCAAGTACAATAAGCACATGTTTGCTCGGATGAATGCACTCCCTTTTTAAATGAAAACTTAGCTTGCTTTTTCTTTTCTTTGCATGTGGCAGAGTGAAGTGAGGTGAAAGAAAATCCAGGTAGGGTGACTCATTCGTCCACTTGCAAAGAAAAAAGTAAGATAAGTTAAAGTATTTTCAATCTTAAAGCTTGAATAGTATTTTAATGGGAGTACATTTATTTAAAGTAAACAAGGTGATGAATGCAAAAGTACTAATCAAATTAAAAAGCAGTCATATGGTCACTCATAATCTTCACCCACTCGTTATCTTATCGTGCTCGTATTCATGCTTGTGTACCAGGAAGCTGGATGTGTGCAAATCCTGACGTGTGCACTTTCGAGGACACATTTGTCTTTTTAACTTTGAAGATTCAACCCTCTGAAAAAGAAATTTTGTTGTTTTTAACAAAGAAAATGCAGAGATAATGTTCCTATATAGTTTAAATTCAGTAATGTTGTCAGTAAAGGAAAGGAATATGTATCTTTTCTTCTGTGAAGTCAGTACAAATAATTGACAAGGAAATAAAAGTGCAGAGTTTAACTGCATAAAACAATTCTACACAGCGCAGTTAAGTTACTGAGTTATCAGAGTAATATCTCTTCATAAGTAATGTCTTGCTTCTTAGCTCTTGTTGTTCTTACTAAAGTTATTTCATCTTCATTCTACCTTCTGCAGAAAAGCTGAGGGTTTTTGTTGCCTGCATTCTATTTATGACTGCTCTGTTTCTGCCATCTTGACGGTCAAAAATCAATGTTGTTGTTGCAAGAGTGGTTTCTCAAGACCAAGTTTATATGACAAAGAACAGAATAAAATATAGAATCATGAAACCTTAGAGTTGGAAGGGACCTCTGAAGGCCAGCCAGTCCCACACCTCTGTGAAGAACAGGGACACCACAGCTCCATCAGGCTGCCCACGGCATCTCTGGAGGCAGGGCATCAACCATACCGCTAAGGAACCTGTTTCAGTGTCTCATCAGCCTCCCTGTAAACGGCTTTTTTTCCTTATATCCAAACTAAATCTCCTCTCTTTGAGCTTGAAACCATTTCCCCTCTCACTTCAGAACCTGCTAAAGTTTTGTCCCCTTCTTTCCTGAAGCTCCCCTTTGGATACCGACAGGCTGCTGTCAGGTTACCTCGCAAACTTCTCTTCTCCAGGATGAGCAGCCCCAGCTCTCTCAGCCTGTCCTCTTAGGAGAGGTCTTCTATTCCATGGATCATGTTTTTGTCTGTGTCTAGAAGCCAACATCTGGCTGGCTTGGCCATATTTGGATTTCTCCAAAGTCAGTTCTGACACTTCAGCTATGCTTCTTGTCTAGAAGGATTTTAACATCTTACAGGTACGCTGAAGGTACCAGTTTAGCCTCCCTTTTAAGTAGTTTCCAGAATCTGAATTTCATTATCCTGCACAGCTGTTCTCCACTTCATTTTTACCTGCGATTCAACTCAGAAAATGTGCTAACAAATTATTTGCATTACAGCAAATTTTATGTTTATGCCATCAGAACCCAGTCTCACCTGGAAGCATAAAACTTCCATAGTCCTAATTGCTGTGCTGATACTCACCAGTGTAAAGAATAGTTGTTGGCTCTTTTACTTTTCAAAAGTTTTAACTATTTGGGTGTTTTTTGTTTGTTTTTGGCTTTTCAGAATAAACATCTGATTTTTTGCCCATATTTCTCCAGGTGACTTTTGCCCAGGCTTTACAGTTGCAATAGCTTTACATTTCTGTAGTTCATCTCTGCACTGTTTAACATGCAGCTAATAATTTATTAACAGTAATTCTGCTTCGCCTGCACTGGGTCCTCTCTGTGACTAAAATTGTGCCTTGTCAAAAGTGTACACAAAGCCCATTTTACATATGAAACAATCCATGCATTTATTTCAGAATAACTGTTGCTCAACTCTTGCTTGTCTGAAATCGTTGTGTTCTGTCTTTGAGAATATACAATGGCAGAAGTTTTACATAAACCCCTCCAGTTATGAAGGCACAGACTTAGCTTGAAGTTCCTTGAAGAACGTGTGTGTTACAGTTGCCATTAAGAGGCAGTCTGATGTTTTGAGTTGGTTCTACACTGCAGCATGAAATAACAAAAACCTTTCTTGTAATAGTGATGTGTGCCAAATTCACTCTCATGCTGTGCACAGAATGGCTATAGTTGTTCATTTTGTGGTGGTGGCAGCTGTTTGTTCTAATTATCAGATGATTCCAATCTGTTTGAATTTTCTTACGTATAATAAAACACAGAAATGTGTTAAAAATGCATAGTGCAATTACTATAGATCAGATTATAAGGATTAAGATCCACAAGCAGAACTGAATGAATGTTGAATACTCGATGGCACTTGATGCTCATCTTCACTTTAGGAAGACTACATGCATTTACAAGTCTCTTCAGTGCTCTAGTGATTTAAGTACGAACTATAGTCTGTTCTGTAGGCTTTCCTTTGTTTGTTTTCATGTGAAGCTTTTAGCAGCTACACATGTGAATCTGTTGTTGCAGTTATGCAAGCGAAGCACTTGTCTGTACAGCTTTGAATGAATCTCTAAAACTTGTCTAGTTAATGTGCAGTATATAGAACTTTTGCCTGTTGAAAATGAGTAAAGCTGAAAATGGCTGTCAGGGGTAACGTGGGATAAAATCTATGAGTAGCACTGTGACTGTTTTTGACTGTCCTCACATGAAATTCAATATTTATATCTCAATTCCAGGAACGTTCTTTCTTTGGGGGTACTTAAGATGATGCTTTAAGATACAAAGCACTAAGCTCATTGCCTCCCTTTTTCCTAACATTTCTGTATGCTATCTCCTTCACTTCAAATCTTTTGATCAAACTGTGCCCAAGCTGTTCCCTTCCATTCAGGGAACGTCAAAGTTCTTAGGTTCCAGGAAACCGTATCCAAACTGCTTAAACAGCTCCTAATGAATGTATCATTAGCAAAGTGTTGATTAAAAATCTTGAAGATTCGGCTCAGTCTCACAAGGCTGAAACAAGTGTTTAAGAAACAACATAAAGAGACTGTCTGTAGTCATTGGCTATGAAGAAGGAAAATATTTGCTTAGCTGTCTCTTTGGTATAAATTATGTCAAATGCATTCTGTCTGGTGGTGAGTTATGGTAAGCACTATATGAAAGCTAAACATTTTGTTACATGATTTTCTAAAGGGAGCTTTCCATGTAACGTAGGACCCAATGGAGCACATGGAACTTTCTTTTAATTACAACAAAACTCTCCATCTAACATTGGAGTTAAATACAGATGCGCAGCTGCAGCCGCGTGGTGTTTAAGTAAAAAGATAATAGATATTTCACTTCTCTTTGGCCCGTGCCATGGTAACACCTAACTGTGTCAACAGAGCATGTGCAGGAAAGAAAAGTTCTAGGATCTTTCTGTACTGCAACCTACAGGGGAAAAAACCCATTCATATTGTTGTTTTTCTTTTGCCTTGAGTGCGTTGTGGAGACAATATTAATGTATGTACTAAGAACATACTATCAAATATTCAGAAAGAAACATAACTTCTTGACATTTGGTGAGCTGCCCTTGCTGCCTGGCAGTCTTCAATACTTCTGATGGACTTTTTTGTTGCAAGAGTGACACTACCTGTGCAAAGCTACAGGTAGAGAAGTCACCGCAAAGTTCAACTTGTCAATGTTCACGGTGACTCACGTCACTAAGTAGACAGGCTGCTGGTTTCTTTGAGGATTTTTGTTTGTTCTTCTCATTTTGAACTTCCAGGGTTTGCCGTTTCCACCTTCTTTTGAAAACTCAAATGGCAGGGAGGAGTCCCCCAAAATCTCTAAGACTTCAAATTATGGAGAAAAATAAAAACAGAAAACCAATCCAGACTGAGAACAGAAATGAACGTAGATGGCCTCAGTTCTACTTAGATGATTCCACATCTGTGATACTTAAATGTCTCCTTCATCACTGGCTATACATATATTTATAAGCATAAATAAAGTCATATTAAAGTTAAAACCCATTACTGCTGTCTTCTACACTTAGATCCGTTTGGATAGAAATTATTCCGTTAACAACTGGAATAACAAAAAGCTTACTAGTCCTTCATTTTACCTTTTTTTTTTTTTGACATATGAACTCCTTGTTAATCACTTTTATTCAAAGTCTGAAAGGGGGGAGTCATATAATTTAAATAGCCAGAACGAATTCTAGTATTCAAGAGCCTTAGATTAAGTGAAATACTGATAAGAAGGAATTATTTTGAAACAGGTGATTTAAGCTGACGTTCTTGGTAGCATCACTGATGTCCTACTGCTGGCAGGGAGGTGGCATTTTAGGAGCAACGTGTGCCACAAGGCTTGAGTGAAGGTGGAGTATTTTTCCCCTTGTTATTTATTTTTTCTTGGTTTCTATTTTCTCAGTCCATTTGTTGCAGGACAGCTGAGTAGTGGTAGCATTTCAGGAGA